TACACCCATTTCTTAAGCTTGGTACCTTTGCAACACAGACGGTAGCTAGTTCGTTGCTTGCACTATAGTAGCGCCAGAATTTGTAGCCCGGAAACGCTTGATGCAGAGAAAGTTCGCATCTTCAGAACGTTGCAAGAGAACGGATACCCCGTTCTGCTTATCGAAAAGCACGCTACGATCCGGTTGCATCTGGACACCACGATGAATGTATCAACATAGACCTATTTCTCTCAGTTCCATTTAAAGTGGATGCCACTTTTGACACTGAAGAGAAGGCTCTCAAGCGTAGTGGCCAAAACCTAACCAGCCACCTTCCCGCGTGTGCTCGCGCAGACTGCTCCGTTTGTAACACTTCTAAAGGACAGACTTCCGGCCCAACCCAAATCACACATTCTCTATCAATCTACTTGCATCTGCGGTGTAAGATATATTGGACACACGACCAGATGTTTGTCAAAACAGGTAGCAGAACACCGTCCTGGGTCGGTACGAAGTGGCTTGCATAGAAGCATCAATAGCGCTACCATAGAGCATTCACCCCTGATTGGACATGAAATCCGGATTGCAGACGCGTTCATTGTTTTCTACTCCTAGCCGCTGGGTCACTCTAAATCGCTCAGAAAGCGTATATTAAAGACGGCTAAGGCGATCGCTATTATGCCGATCCATCCTGATTTGTGCAAGCAGAAAGCCCAAGTGCACCCCCTCTTGTTACCTTGGCCCCGCGGTTGTTCCTTGCTATTCGACACTAACAGCGTAACGTCGGCTGCATAGCCTACCTCCAGTAGATCGGTCTAATTATCGATCCAAGTTACCGGTCTCGTTCAAACAGCAGCAGTCCTCAATCTAGCTTTCACTAACATACTGCGTTGCTTGTTTCTTTCTCATAACTGTAATGGCCTGATGAGAATTATTGACTTGGAGTTGTACTTGGGCATAATTCATGAAATTTAAAGCAGTTAGTTCCTTTCAACAATTTGAAAAGCACGGAAAGAAGATGAAGGCCGGTAGATGCATGCATTTCGTATTGTCTCCACAGTACCATTAACAATAACCGATATGCATAGATATAGCTAATAGTGGGTGCAACCAGACAAGTTTACGGTGCAAAACGAATGACGGAAGTTCACACCTACGTCCAAGGCAGCTTTAGGCTGACAAATAGTTGTTTCTGGACACACAAGGTTGGCTTAATCCGGCTTATAGCGACAGCCTCAGCAAACCGAAGGAAGCGGGGATTAAGGTGACGTAACACAGCCTAAAGCTGCCTTGGACGTAGGTGTGAACTTCCGTCATTCGTTTTGCACCTTAAGCTTGTCTGGTTGCACCCACTGTCAGCTATATCTATGCATATCGGTTATTGTTAATGATACTGAGGAGACAATACGAAATGTATGCATCTATCAGCCCTCGTCTTCTTTCCGTGCTTTTCATAATTCAGGAGTTGAAATAAATCAATAAATAAATCATGTTTGATTCTCGACAGTGCGAGACACGCCTGAATAGGCATCATCATGTTGTCGTTCCTTTGACATACAAGCGAAACCTATTTCGCTGTCTAACCACAAGGGCTCGCAGGATCTGTTCTGAAGACACGTTGGATACTGAGTTGTGGTTGATTGAAAATTTGCTGCGCGATAACAGATATGCTGATCGATTTTTCTTAGGAACATCCAAGACAAACCCGACCCAGTGCAGTTTCCAACAGCTAAGAAAGAACTTTTTATAAGATCCCCTTTCAAAGGGGACGCAGCCGCCGAACGTGTATCCAGAAGCCTGCCAACAGCCGTTAAGTTAACTTTTCCAACTGCTAAGCTCAAGTGCACTTTCTCAAAGGAACCCCACATTCGTATTTGCAACAAAGGTAAGTTGCTGATGCTGACCGCTTCGATGGTCATTTATCAGTTCGAGCGTACCTGTGGCGCTACTTACATCGGTGGAACGGCGCGGCACTTGTCAAAGCGCATTAATGAGCACTTTCCACATTGATTGCGTCGAGGCGGTACCGGGGCTACAACTAGCTCTGTTATGGCCCATCTGGTTGATAGGAGGGCATGAAGTCGATCCGATCCGAGGACTTTCGAATACTATGCAAGGTTCCGCCACTCCAGTCGAAAACTCTGCGCCTCCGCACCCTCGCTACAGCCGAGGCGATCAGTATTCGGTTGTAGCGACCGCTTTTGTGTTCACAAAAGAAACTGATCGAAGCTCTTAAGCTACCTTGGCCAGATAAGATGGATGATTCGGAGGCCGGGAGCAATCGTTTGACTACATCTTTGACCTAGTTTGCGCTTATGTTTTACGTCTATTGCTGGTTTATATCCCCGGTTGGCACGTGATCTAATTCCAGTTGAACTGATCGAAACCACTGTTACTCCCACTGCTCTTATACCCATGTGATTGTAAAGGTCTGAGGATGAATTAATCGAAAACAATAGATCACCTTCGGTCCCTTGTTCTTGATGATTAAATGGGAATTTTTCAGTCACATCCAAAAATGTCCATTTTCCTTCACTCTCGATCTCATTGGTGAAATGCAACGACGGAGGTGTACTGTTGAATTGAGCTAGTAGAGAGGAAACGTCCAATAAATGTGATCGGACAATAGGCGAGTGAGCCATACTCAAGCATTGGTCTTATAATGGAAGAGAACAGGCGAGTGGTAAACTCTATAGACCAAGCGTAGAAGCTGCGCCTAAGTGCCCAAAGCAGGCATAGTCCGTTTCCGTATAGTCTGTTCGTGTTGTCGACGGACTACAGATCACAGCGTGAGAGTACACCTAGATCCTTGACAGAGCTTGTTGGATGCAGCAGTTGGCCGGCTATGGTGAACATGGACAAATTTCCATCCTTCCCCAGACTCATAAATGATGAGTTGACCGGCAGAGCAACTTTTGCGGACCACAGGGACAGGCGGTCGAGGTCCTGCTGAAGGACGTCACAGTCGTCGGGAGGATCAAGACCAACCAAATCTTCAGCTCGTCTGCAAACAATACGCAGGACGACCGAAGAAGCTAAGGTACTTCGATGATGTAGATCAGGAACAAAATGAGCCCCAGTACTGTGTCTTGGGGTACGCCGCTTGTAGATGGGTATCGATACGTTAGGTGGTCACCCACCTGTACCCGCCATTTTCTCCCAATGAGGAATTCACTGCTCGACTGGTGTAGTGCGCCACCAACAGTACACATCCTCCGCTTGTGGAGAAGGAAGTCATGGTCCACTTCACTGAAATGGACGTAGATATCTACTGATTTCCCCCGGTTCAAAGCCTGCAATGATCCGTGCCGCGTCAACAGCAGGTTGATGATGCAGTAGAGGCCCTTCATGAAACTGTGCTGTGTGGGCGTTAGATCTTTCGACTCTAAAAGTTGGAGAATACTCTTTTTCACAATCTTCTCCAGCATTTTCGCCAAAAGTCAGACGAATCGTTCGATAATTGTCCACTCTAATCGTGTCACCGCCCTTCGGGGTCGGCTTCACTACCGAGCGTTTCCCGTCGCTCGGCAACGTAGCTTCAGACAACGATCTGTTAAACAGATTAGTTACATCAGGCGAGGTGATGGCCGATAACGACTTTCAAATTAACGGATGGAGAACGTCGGGTCCGGCAGGCTTCGTGCCGTCAAGACTGTGGACATTTTCCACATTGCCATCCAGGCACTCGAGTTCCGTAGGAGCTTCACACGTCGAGTTCGGCATAGATGCATGCCCACAAAAAGACGTATCGGACAATAGTTAATATATAAGTCTGATCTGCTGGAAAGCAGTAACTGCTTCCCAAACAGATTGTCTGTTTCAAGCGCGTTGAGTCAGCACGACCGATGGTGGTTGCACAACCGTGCAAATCAATCGTGTCTTAAGGAGCATGTCGCCTCTCTCTAGTAAGCAGATTACGGGACCACGAAAAATCGTTTAACTTGTAGCAACGGCTCTCGGCATGTGAACACTGCGGCAATATGTGAAAGCAACTCACATGTGTTCCTTCGAATAAATCGGCTGATGAAATTTGACTAAGTTGGCATAGAGGAGTGCAGTCCACCGTGGAAGTCCTTCAACCTGCGTTTGGCTCACACTGCAACAACTGTCTGTCAGTACATTTGTTTCCTTGTGTCCCATTGTATGTTGTGCATAACAGGCATTCCGCAAGATACTTTTACGACACAAACTCATGACACACAAATACTGGTACAGTCTTCAATTCCCAGTTAAATTCGATGCACACCGGTGCAATCAGTTCAAAACGTGCTATTCCTTACCGCAATTGGTTTACGAATATATATTTGTTGCCTCTTTATTGACTTGTACAGGATACGGTGTTTTTTTTTAAAAACATCTGATCACGCTACACCGACGCGTCTCCTTTTTCCTCAGAACAAAACATTCCAGATTCCACTTCTATGTACCACACCTTTTCTCCGATCTGATTATGCCTGAACAGCTTCCCATTTTCCGATTAGGTTGTGATTGTTGTCCTATACAAGATTGCACCGCTATGATCATGCCTTTGCAGGTGCAGTGCCGAGGATAGACTAATTAGTTAGCTATTCCTATCGACTTTTATTTGGCTGAGGAGTATATGTAAGAGAAAACAACAGATGCACTTGGAATGTAGTCGCCTTGAAAGTCTTGTTGCATTCAAACAATTGTCAATGGCAAAAAGTGGAACAGTAAGTGAATCTGTGGGAGTCGTTAAAAGACAATATGTAAATCCGTAAAGGATTAGCATAAAACAATGGCAATGCAACCACAGTGAGCAGTTTGAACTGTGGACCACTGTAAACGAACAGCGTGCGATTTTCATTGCGCCAAATAGTGGTAGCAGACAAGCCTGTGGTAGTAACTAGTTAACATTCGTAGAGAAGTTGAACAGAAGCGGATCAGGGAGATGAAAGTACACAGCGACCCACTCAAGGGAGGCGGGAGTTAAGAAGGACAGCAAAGCATATTTGAGAACAGCAGATTAAGTGACAGAGAAAAGGGCGTAATTGAAAACTCACATAAACATCGAATCGGAAGCATTCCGGATCATGCGAAGGTCCTAGTCTGGTCACCACTGGAGAAAGGAGCGAGAAGCGCAAACTGAACGTCAAAAGACTGAAAGAAACAACGTAGCATAAATTAGAATGTCTGATAGAAGAGAGTGAACGATGAAGGAGATGAGAGGCATGGGCTAAGGAAGCTAACGGGATCAGCCGCGTTTGGCACGCCTGATAGTTGGCAGCAGGAACTGTTATTCTAATCCTAACAATCTAACTGGTATCAAACAAGAGCTCGAATATAATGATAGGCCACTATGTAAGCCACGAAAAATGTGCAGTTGATTAGAGGTATGAGAATATTTGTCTATGATCCATGTAGACATAAAATTCGGTGTACTACGATGGCTTATAGAGAAAAACAGTGCACTACTGAGGGTTTCTGCTCTCTAACGGTATGATGAGGGAAAGCAAGTTGGACTGATACTACTGATAAGATTGCAAAGTAGCACTCAGATGTAATGTCGGGACAAGCGAAAAGCGATGGTCAGTTTCGCGCTTGCGTGGCGAAAGTGCAGTGGAATAAAGTATTGAGAGAACTAAAAGAAAACCAAATGATGAACTCAGGAATGTTTACAGTGACAGCCAAGTTAGGAGGCAAGTAGCTGATGGGAAAATAAAAAATCCACTACGAACATCGTCTAGGGCCTTCGGACATAGAGCACACTATGGAAGCAAATCGTTAAAAACGTACCGAGAAAAATCAATGGTGAAGTTGTGGTCAGCCAGGAACTGTTTCACTGATTCGGCAGTAAACAGTGAGATGGCCTCAATTTCCAGTGGGTAAACAAGGATGCAATCTGTGGAGAGCGGGAAAGAGTTGGTTTGGAAATAACTGTTGTTTGAGTTGTGATTCTGGCACCGAGGCAGTGTAGGCCCAGCAGAAAATCAACGTTCATGAAAATAGTGCAGTCAGTACCGTTAACAACAACGATGAAAGTATGGAGCCAGCTGAGATGTGTACCACTGAGTAAACTGGGTCATAGGAGATGAGGAATAGTAAGTGGAAAACAACACACAGACATGGCTCACACCATGACCGCGTAACAAAGTAGAGGCAGTGGTGGTCCGTGTTAACTTTGCTCGTTCGTTGTGATACCGAGGAACAAGTGAGTAACACGACTAGGTAAGAATTGAAACACTAAAACTTATTGTCATGCGAATAATTTGTAAGTCAGTGAGAGGAGATGATGAGTTCCATCTCAAGAGCTTTGGTTGCAATTAAATCACAAAACTACCAAGCGACATAGTGCGACTTTGTCTGAGAAAAGACACCTTCGAGAGGACACTAAGCATGGACCAAATTCACAGGCGAAGTCAGAGCCGCTGCTTTAATGAGCCATACAGATTAAAAGTAAAGAGAATCTATCTGAGTGGGCACTTGTTGTGAAAGCCGTGACGGTGAGAGTAAGGTCCTGCTAGTCAGGAAAGTGTAGACCGTCCCAAACTGTGAGAGCGATAGTTCGAGTCAGAGCAGCATACATAAGTTGACAGTGTTTGCGTATCCAGTCATATAATCTGCTACGCTGTCTTCGCAACCTGTCTCAGATCTGCTAGGAATACTGCTTAAGCAATGAGCGTGTTTGCCACCTCTATTTTGGCAAAGAGCAAAAATCCCAACCAAAATGTAATGATGAGGAATTTGTCAATCAGAATTAGTCTGAAGCCACTACGCTAATTTTCCGCTGCACTCTCCTAGATGACATGCCAAGAGGCTGAGTGAGAAGGATGGAAACGGCAGGCCATCTTATAACAGCTGAATCGGACGAATGGACAGTGAATGTGTAAATAACTCGAGGTTGGTATAAAGCACAGACAACTCCGTAATGCGTAAGTGCACATCTAAGCTAACCGAATGAAAGGTGCCCGGTACAGACAACAACACAACAAGTGAGCGTCTGACGAGGCTCTAGATTCGACCCGTCGTAAAAATTTGATTAATATGGCCTTAACGGAGTTGAATTCCAATATCTGCTGTTTGGGTATTTGACTGAGCTCCCGTATAAGTCTTGCCGTGAACACTCTGAACGACAAACAACTGGAACTGATCGTACTGTTTTTGAAACTGAAGGGATAACGGCCATGCTCTTCTCGGACTGGTTGGTTTTGATTGTTCAAATCCTTGCTGATGATAGCTGGACTTCTGTATTCGAAAATTTTCAGAGCGAGATCGTCTAAGCGGTTCAGAACGTAAAGCCAGTAGGAAAATTCGGTGTCACGTGGCAGTGAGGTGATACGCAATAAGCAGAGCTCGGGATGCCTGAATGATAACTCAGAAATGTTGGCGGTCAATCGAAGTGCTGTTCGAAACAAACCACCCGAGGTACAAGTCCAATTGACGGTCCAAATTGGTTCGCAGTAGGTTTTAAGTAGCAATTCGTCTACGACTGGTGTTCTGCGATCTTGTAGAAGCTGTGAGCAACAGTTGCCTGTTCTATCTATATGACAAGATACATCTACTGAACCTCAAAACCTTCTAAAATGAACAGCTTGAGTTTAGCCTTGACATCCTATCACGTGAGCTGTGGTCAACGGATAGGAGAAGTGACTGATCGGTTAGAAGCAGTTAAAAAGATTGTTTATAGACATTCTTAGCAAAACATTGTTTGTAAAGCATACTTCGGTTGTACGGACAAGGTGCTCTAAAGTTGGAAAAAAGTGTGCAGGATCGAAACTGACATTCGATGGAAAACGTTGAACGCGCCTGAAGCAACAAGCTTAGGTACGACATGGTTAGTTAACAAAAATCGCTGTGTGACCCTGGCACACCCAAGAACATGGTCAGATATAAAACTGGTGCACAAAATGGATATGTAGCGATTTGTGCATGCTCAGCAACAGCAACGCGTGGCGATGTGGTCTATCCGTCCCCAGGAATAGTCAGAAGACAAGAGCCATTATGATTTCTGTTGGTACCAAGGAAGAAGAACAAGAGTAGAGAAGAAAGCCATGAAAGGCACAATGACACAAGTGGTTACAAGTCTGTTCGGCGGGCACAATAGTCATATGTACCACGGAGTTCATGTCTAGCAAGTCCAAAGTCAGCGGTTTGCAGATTTGAGTCTCCCGCAAGAAACGCGACGTTTGAAAACTGTACTCATCTTTATTGAGTTCGTTGGGAAGCTGTGTAAGGAAATGCCACAAGTGCGAATGAGCATTGTTTGAAAACACTGCAGGTGGATGCTTCAACAAGTCTGCCACAGAACTGAGAAGATTTGACTAGTGATCCAATAGGGAGGTTACTGCCATTGTGTGCTCGCATAGAGTAAACTCATGTTCACGTACCCAGTTGTTAGGGCCGTGGCATCTACGAATAGTGGCGTTGTGAATGTACCATCGGAACTCGCATGTAGTGAAATCGACCGGAGTATCGTACCCGGGTCCTGTGGATCGGTTACAAGCTGTCAATGGCAAGGGATTTCAGAGTGCGAATGAGGAGTGCTTGTGATCTAGTTCACATAAATGTAACAGTGATGAAAGCCACCGATATCAATTGGGAACGCGGTAGTAGGAATACGCTTAAAAGTACATGCTAGTGCGGAGCGTTCTAGTCTTTAGCTGTTCACCACAATGGTTGGAACACAACCTGTCAAGGGAACACTGTGACGATGCTCTTCTATTCGTCGGTCTGATCCCCCATAGTGAACTACTGCTGGTGCTTGCCACAATAGGAGAGTTTGCTGAATCTTAGCCGCTTACATCGGCTGGGTCATGTCCTTTATATGCCCTTTGACCGACTCGGTGTGTGTTATACACAGTCGTCGTAGCAAATTGGAAGAAACCGAGAGGTGGCCAATAGATGACGTGGCAAAGACATGGAGAAATTGACCGAGACTTGGTGAGGCTGGTGCATGCCGTCATCGTGGATAGGAGCCTCGGGATGGTAAACGCCAGTGGTTAGAGACTATAGCAGATATAACACAGTCGCGCATTCGGTTTCTTGCATATAGCCATTAGTACTCATTCCATGTTGATGGGATTAACGCACTTCTTTCTTAATTCCATTTCCCCTAGACTTTATTCGCATTCGACCTTACTTTCTTGCCATTGTTACTTACGTGGGGTGAAAGAAAAATTTCGAGCCTGGCACAGAAATCAGATAGCCAGGCAAGCCAAATACTTTTTAAAAAATTTAATCTATCACTTGCTTATTCATTTCATACAAACCCATATTTCCGCCTCTTTTATTTTCATTTCAGCAGATTTTTGAATTGCACAGGGTTTGCAATTTGGAGAAAATGGAAAAAGCATAGTATCGTGTAGTGATCAACTGTTTCGATCTCAAAGGAATGTCAACATATGAAATCCACGAAGATATGCTCAATACATCGCATGACAACGCCTCTTCATAGACCACAGTTAAACGTTGAGTGCAAAATTCGAGTGCGGCGAGAAGGGCATTGAAAATGAGCTCAGGTCAAGGAGACCAAAAACACCCACCATCAAAGAAAACTTTGACCTAGCAGTGGATATGACCGTGCAAGATCGCCGACTAACAACTCGTCAGATAGCAGAGAGCTTGGGTATCTCCAAGGAGCGAACAGATAATATTCTGAGGAGGGAGTAAGACTACTCAAAAGTTTCCGATCGATAGGTGTCCTGTCTTCTGACAACTGAGCAGAAGCGCATGCAGCATGTGGTGTCGAAGAACAATTTGGTACTCTTTGAGGCAGATGCTGATAATTTTTCTGCACGATTCCTCACTGTGGATGAGTGTTGGGTTCACCAGTTAGAACGCGAAAAAAAGAACAATCAGAGCCATGGGAGTGTGTATCAGCTCCTATGCCAAAGAAGGCCAAGGTTACACAGTCCGTTGACAAGATTATGGCAAGCTTTTGGGATTCCCAAGGTGTGCTGATGATTGATTTCCTCGAAAGACGTCACACCATCACCGAAAAGTATTAATGTAAGCTTCTGAATCGTCTAAGAAAAAAACCGAGAAAAGTGGCGAAGAGTGCTGAGGAGAAGAGCTATTTTTCACAGTGACAACTCTCGATCTTACACTTCTTCGACTACTCGAAAAATTCATGATTACGGGTTCAAACTTCTCCTTTACCCACCCTATTCACCCGAGCTGGCTCCCTGACTTCCACCCATATCCAAATATGAAAAAAGCTTTAGCTGATAAACATTTTCTCAACGACAGTGACGTCACTGAAACCGTAGCGTTTTAGAGCAACAATCTGAAGAGCTTTTTCCACTATGATAAAAGCGCCTCAGCTTTGCTGGAGTAAGTGTGTTGCACTTAAGTGGCGGTTATGTTGGGAAATAAAAGCGTCGAAGAATCTGGAACTGGTTTTCTCGAGGCTTGACGACGTAAGTCGTGCCAACAGAATGCACCGCACTTCGGTGACCGGATCATAGTTGTTCAATTGAACTGGACTGAACTCTAGTGAACACATGGTGTGACTGTCGCCTGTGGTTCATTTACAAAAAAAACCAGAGGATGTAACACGAAAATCGCAGTCGTACAAATGGCAGCTGTAACGGTTGTGACAACCGCACGAGTGTTAGCTGTGTGCGGGCAACAGCAAAGTCACTAACATCCACGGCTAGAAATGAACTCCGAAGTAGAGAGGAAAACGTCACGCAAACACATTAGGTCAAAACTAAAGCAATCACGAACTGTTAGACCCCATTCCGACAACAAGTGGCTTTGGTGTTTCCTCATTTCCGGCCAAGTTGGTCGCATGCCCCATGGTGAAGCATTCTGTTGTGGATTCTCACAGTGCAAACAATGGGGTCCCTACTAGGGGGAAATATATGAGCTGGACTACGCAGACATTGTTTTGCTGTTTAA